GTGTGTGTGTGTGTGTGTGTGTGTGTGTGTGTGTGTGTGTGTGTGTGTTTGAGAACATGACTGCCCGGACTTCTTCGGGAGTCTAGAGCTGACCTTACAAGTTGGGGAGAAGCAAAGCTATGCAGGGGCTATTAAGCATTGCCCTGCTTGCAAATGACTCTGGATTGTTTGCTACCAGCAATAGAAGATGGGCTACATCCCCCAGCTTAAAATGCTTCTACCTAGAACTATCTTTGCCAACTCACTGCCATGGCTTGGTTCAACCCTGGCCACCCTCCATTCCAGACTTGGTGTCCCTTAGCTAAAATGCTTTGAGATCAGAAATGCTTCCTAGTTTGGAATATCCACATATACATAATGATCCATTTGGGGGATGGGATCCAAATATAAACAGAAAGCTCATAGGTAATTTTACACAATATTTTAAACCTTGTTTCATGGCATAAAATTTTCTGCTCATGATGTCATCTTAAAACTCTAAAACTCTGGGGTTCGGAGCTGCCCTTCATTACTTTTCTTGCCTCGGAGGCAGAAGATCTAGCAGAAACAATGTGACTAGGAAGGGCTGGCTTTGGCTCACCATTTCAGAGGGTGTGGTCTCTCATGGCAGGTTAGTGTGGTGGCACTCATAGCTGAGAGAGCCAGCTGCTGGGATCCTCACATCTGTAGCTTGAAGCAGATGACATGAGCTAGAAAAGCAGCTAACTGTTACCCCTAAAGCTCTGTTCATCCCTCAGGGGGGTCTGTGTCTTCCAGCAAGGTCTCATATCCCAAAGGCTTCATGGCCTCCCGGAACAATGTTTCCAGCTAGGGGCCAATGTTCAAACACATGAGCTGGTGGGGGCAGTTTACGTGCAGATGGGATGCCCTGCCTATAGTAAGCTCTGGTGACTTAGATGTGTTCACTTCTGCTTCCTGCTTATAGAACTTCTGGAATAGTTGTGAATTGGACATTAGTTCCTGTGCCCTCTTGTGGTCCCCCAGCTATTATTTGTATGTGTGTTTATCCATTGGCAATCTTGCCCAGCCAGAGGCATAAGGACAGTTTAACTCTCCAGTTTCCAGAGACGGTGCAAGCTGGTGGTTCCCAGGGGCTAAAATACAGCAAAAACAGCAGCCTCCCTTCCCCCACTTCCCCTTCGCCTCCTCTTCCTTTTAAAGTTGTGTGTTTTTCTTGCATGCACATATGTGCATCACATGTATGTGGTGCCCACAGGGGCCAGAAGAGGGTGTCAGATCCCTGGAACTAGAAATGAGCCTACATGTAGGAGTCAGGAAATGAACCCAGGTCCTCTGCAAGAGCACTAAGTGCCTTAAGCCCAGAGCCACCTCCACTTTTCTCCCTTCCTTTTAAAGGAAGTCCTGTAGAGGACACAGGTCTCTTTCATGTTCATCACCTCCTTGGGGTACACTGACTAAGCAGATCTGAAGACGATATGGAATCACACCCATTTTCTTGACACCAAAGAGAAATGGTTTTCCTAAACTCATGTATTTAGGGAAGAGTGTGGGTCCCAAGGTGAACCCATAGGGTCAGGGGTGGGAAACAAGGCTGCGGCTTGAAGCTGGTGGTGACAAGTGTGTTTAGCCACAGCAATGGGAAGACATCGCAATCGGGGCATGAAAGGAGGTTGTCAGCACACAGTGGGGATATTAGTGAGTCTGCCCCCAAGACGCACATTCTAGAGCAGTGGGACTTTAAGTGTGTGTGTGTGTGTATATGTGTGTGTGGTTTGTGACTGTGTTATGTGTGTGTGTGCGCACACGTGTATGTGTCTGTCTGTCTGTGGGGTGTGTGTGTATGTGTGTGATATGTATGTATAAGTGCATGTGTGTGTGGTATGTATGTGTGTCTAGTGTGTGTGGTATGTATGTGTGTCTGGTGTGTGTATATGTGTGGTATGTATGTGTGTCTAGTGTGTGTGTGTGGTAAGTATGTGTGTCTGTGGTGTGTGTGTGTGTGGTATGTGTATCTGTGGTGTGTTATGTGGTTGTGTGTGTGGTATGTATGTGTATCTGTGGTGTGTGTGTATGGTTGTGTGTGTGCGCAGTATGTGTGTGTGCACATTCTTCTAAAGATTGAACCCAAACTCTCATATTTGCTAGAGACAGTCTACCACCAAACCACATCCTCAGTCCCTTATATATTTTTATTTTTACTTTTGTTTTCTTTTGTTTTGTTTTGTTTTTGAGATATGGTCTTACTATATAGCCCTGGCTGGTCTAGAATTCACTATGTAGAATAGGCTGACCTTGAACTCACAGAGATCCCCCTGCCTCTGCCTCCCAGGCTCTGGGGTCAAAGGTGTATGCCATGACACCTGGCCCTTTTTATTTTTTTCTTGAGACATCATCTCACTAAGTTGCTCAGGTTGGTCCAGAACTCACTCCCACCTTGACCTCCTGCACTCTGGAATGACAGGGGTGAGCCTTCAGGCCCTGTTGCTTTTGTTTTAGGAAAACTGAGGCTCAATATTTCATGTAGTTGATCATCATTTATTAATTAGAAGAGCCAAATTTTATGACATCTAGTCCTTCCCATCCTCTTTCCATTACCCAGGTTGAACATCCTATTTCCCCATATCCCAAATCTAAAATTTTCTAACGTTAACCTACCTATGAGCTGTGAGTGTGAGAGCTTGTATTAGTTATTTACCGTGGCTGTGACAAAACCACGTGGCAAAGCAACTTAAGGGGCTGGAAGACAGCTTACTGGGGAACATGTTCGCTGTACAAGCATGAGGAACTGAGTTTCATTCCCAGAATCTACATTTTAAAAAAAGCAATATGTCCACGTGTGTCTCTAAACCCATCACTGGGGAGGCAGAGGCAAGCAGATCTCCGGAGCTTGATGGTCATCAGTCTAACCCAACTGATGAGCCCCAGGTCCTGATGAGAGACCCTGTCCCTAAATAACAAGGATCCTGAAAAGCAGCATCTGAGGTTGACCTGTAAAACACAACACAACACACAGACACACACACACACACACACACAGCACTGTGAGGGCATACTCGAGTGTGTGTACACATACACACACATACAAATGAGAAAGGAAGGGTTTATTTTGTTTCATTATTTGGGAAGATGCAGTCCATCATAACCGGGAAGGCATGGTGAGGGAGTATGGAGCAGCTGGTCACATTGCATCTGGAGAGAGGGGGCGGGGTCGGGGGAGGAAAGCCAATCCCCAGGCTTTTCAGGATCTCTGGCCTGACTTTCAGTCAGTCTAAGCACACTTACACTTCTTTTTCTTCAGTTAAACCTCCCCGGAAGCACCCTCCAGTGATGATCAGAGCTGTGCGTCCTTGTAACTCTAAATCCAGTCGAACTGAGGGCATTTCAGAGTTTGGGTCTTTGGATGGTTGCTACACACCTAGTGCAACGTTTCCAAGTCCTGAAAGGTCAAAACGCTGGAATATTTTTGATTTCAAGCACTTTTCATAAAGGATATTCATCCTTACTTACGTGACAGCATTCAGAGACAGAGGGTGAAAAAGTCCCCCAGAAAGAGAGAGGAAGAGAACTCATAGGGCTCTGGTGGGGGAGCTACCTGATTCAGGAGAAGAGACAGGCCCCTCATCAGCACCTGTGGTGGCAGCTGGACTCTGATGACCTTGGCTTCTACTGATTGTGCTCCTTAGAAGAAAGTCAGTCCCCGGAGAGTTCAGGACACTAGCTGCCAGGATTCTACTCTTTTTTAGCCTTTAACTGCAGATCAGATTCCAATAGATGGGCCCTGGCACATGAGAACTCCCACAACCCTGGGAGGAGGTGGGAGAGAGAGGGCTGCTGTGGCCGGAAGTCAAGGGTGCCTGTCTGTGGCCCCCGCAGCATCTGAGCTGTGTCTCTGTCCCCACAGTGAATGGATACCACGCATCAGGGACCCCGGCGCACCCTCCAGAGACTGCCCACATGAGTCTCCGAAAATCTACCGGTGATTCCCAGGTAAGGTGCTGCCAAGGGAGGTAGGGGCAGCTGAGTGTCTAGCTCAGGAAGGATGTAGTTGGGAGTCAGGGACTGTAGCCCTCTTCTGCGGTCAGTGGAAAGTAGCCCAGGGTTGCCCTAACAGTTCTTGAGGAAGGATGGGTTGCAGAATTGTAGTTCGTTGGTTTTCTAGAAATCGAGGGAGATTTGGAAGAGGAGCTAATGGATTATAATTGTCAGGGCAGAGAGATCCACTCTGCTACCCACATATCCAATGAGTGCAGATTTCCTGTCCAGTTAGCAGTGTGAGCCAGCCAGGCCATTGTCCTTATAGTCCTCTGCTGTGCCTACCCTCGGTCACATCAGGAAAATGTGACCATCTCACTAACATGGCATAGCTGTAGGAGGCAAAGAATTATGTGTGCTTTTACTTTTGAGTCAGGGTCTTATGTAGCCCTAGTTTTTGATCCTCCTGCCTGCAGCTCCCAAGTGCTGGCATTACAGGCATGCACACCATACCCAGCTGAAATATGCTTTAAGATTCCCAAACTGCTGACTCCATCAGAACCGACACGTGTGACATCACGAGATGGGAATCATTAGCATTCCCACGAGCCTGGGACCACAGAGGAGCAAGCTCATGAGATTGAGTTGAGGGTCATAGTGGACCCAATAGAATATCCTATGATTTCCTTATTTGCAGGATGCTGCATCTAAGTGGGGGCAGGGGTAGTTGCCTTACAAACTAAGGGTTTCCTAAGGAAACTTCCAATCCCTGTCATACTTTCTCAGGAATCAGTGTGGCAGCCCTTAGGGGTGACGGTATTGATGGCTGATGACCACAGTAGTAATACTGCTGAGACAAAATAGCTGTGGAGGCTGTGGCCTCTGTGTGGTCACTGAAGGAGAGACCCTGGACTCTGCGAGTGCCATCAGCTAAGCTGTGGCAGCCAGCTTCAGTGCAGCCAAGGGGGTTGCGTTTGGAAACTTAGTAAAGCTGTCCTCTCAGAGTTGAACATTGACTGAGCCCAGGATCAGTAAACTGTGGCAGAGAACTCAAGGCCCCGTTTCAGTCAGGCCTTTCAAGTCTCTTGACTCTTGTCTATGATCTGAGGTGAGCAGGGTGTGCGTTCCCAGCCAGTCCCCAGATGCCAATAGTGGTTCTGCTACTGGAGACCATGTCTGGCTTGTGGGGATTGAGGTTTAGTTAACAGTGCACAGGGCTGTGCCTGACACCATGGAATCCCTGCTCACCTCTCTTGTCATCAATCAACCCTGACTTTGTGTGTCCTGTTGAGCCACCCTCTCCATGAGCCAATGAGTATGTTGGAAGGGAAGATGACCTGTCATCTGACTTGAGAGTGTTTCTGAAGACATGAGCCTGCCCTGCTGCGGCTAACCACGATTAAACCATGTTGCTACCCCAGCCCATCAGGAAGGACACTGGAAACAGCTTCCCATTCTTCCTTCCCCAATGAGATGTGACTCTCCGACCTCCAGAAGTACTGAGAAACTCAACCACTTCATACATGCTTGCTTCTTGGGAAGCCTGGAAGCTGATTTAACAGTGTGCTGTAGGCCTTAGATAGAGGAATTTCTCCTCCCATATCTGTTCTTGGAATATACTCAGAGATTTATGTGTATTCTAATTTCTATGGAAGGCCATTCATACAAGTATTATTTATACCCCTGGAACACTGGACCCGATCTAACTGTCCAACAAGAGGGGACAGACAGAGTGACCTCCAGTGCTGGATATCTAGCCTGTCAGTGATATTACACAGTCAGCATCCCCCTGAAGAAAACGTAATGACTCAAGAAATGCTTCCAACTTAAATCAAGTGGAAGGGACTGAAGAGATGGCCTGGTGACCAAGTGCACTGTTCTTCCAGAGGGCCTGGGTCCAAGTCCAAGCACCCATGACAGGCAGCTCTCCACAGTCTGTAACTCTAGCAGCTGGAGTTACTAGGGTCTCGCTCCAAAGGATGGCACCCTCTCCTTACCTCCAGGAGAATCTGTACTCATGTGTGCATGCATATGCACATATGTGCATGCGTGTGTGTACATGTGTGTGAAAATGTGTGTATACATGTATGTGGGCATGTGATTGCATACGTATATGTGTGTGTGTGTGCGTGTGTGAAAATGTGTGTGTGCATTGTGTGCATATGTGGACATGTGTGCAAATGTGTGTGCATGTGTATACATGTGTGTGCATAAGGAGATACAATCCTATTTAGAAGAAGGAAAACTGAGCTTCTGAGAGGGAAGAAGACCAGAGAGTCCATGATGGCCTAACCACACCTCAACCCGAGTTTCTCCATTGGGGACATTTGGTGACATCTTTGATTTTGATTGTTACCACTGCAGAGTCAATGAATTCAATGAGCAGACGCAAGGGATGTCATTCACTGTACAATGGGCAGGGCAGCCTCTTCAGCAAGGCATTATCTTCAGCAAGGCATTACTAGTTTGAATATATGAGTCGCATTGAGGTTGCAAAAGCTTGACCAGAGGACATGAGTACTTTTTATTTTGTTTCTACTTTCTTCAAGTTTCCTAAGATCAACACATTTCACTTCTATAAAAGACAGAAACACTCTTTTGGTTAAGAGAATAAAATTTGGTTGCTGGAGAGAGAGCTCAGATGGTGAAGAGCTTCTTACACAAGCCTGAAGATCTGAGTCCAGTCCCCAGAACGCATAGAAAAGGCAGGCCATGGCGGTGACCTTGAAATCCTAGGAAGTGGGGACGGGAGGATCAGTGGGGTTCACCGGCCAGCCTGCCTAGTGTAGTTGGTGAACTCTAGGGTAATGACAGGTCCTGTCTCAGAAAACAAAGTCTAGAATGATTGGGATTGACCTCCGCCTTATCCATATATGCTCTCTCTCGTGCGCGCACGTATGTGTGTGTGTGCATGCACGCACGTGTGTTGCTGAGGGTGTGTAGTGCTGGGTTCCCAGGAAAGGCCAGCTCCAAGGCCCAGGCCTGGTACACAGTGACTGTTATACATAGGCAGGTTAGCAGAATATTCTTTTTGGATAATAACCCTGAAGTTAAGGCCTCATCAAAGAATCAAAAATGAACAATGTAGTATTCATAGAAATGATAAATCTGCATCTACTTCCTGCGTCCCAGAACTGTAAAGTAGATCCTCTAGGATTCTTTCCAGTTATGAAAAGACAGCATTTGGATAGGGAAGCTGCTACTGTTTAATCCATGTGTGAACCTCTGAAGCTAATTAGCGAACGAGCTCCAAAGGCTCACCATCAATAGGGTGAGAGCCTCTCCCTTAGAGACAGGAGGGCCCAGCAGGTGTTTAAGTGTCCACAGCCTTTTTCAATACTCGGGGGGTTTACTCTCCCATCCCAGGCTGTCAATCACAACTCTCAATTGCTCCTGATAATAACTGAGTGCTGGGGGCATGGTTCAGTGGTAGAGTCTTACCTACCATCTCCAAGGCCCAGGGTTCAGTCTCTGGAATGTGCATGCATGTGGACAATAATTGAAATATTAGTGAACGAAGAGCTACTTGACAATTTGAGAGGCAGGATTTGGGGTCACAGTGACCAAGCCTGTGATTTGCAAAGTACTTGCTGGCTTCTCTCTCTTTAAGCAGATGAATAGGAAAGAATGGCAGCAGGGAGGGGCAGGAGCATCTGCTGTCGCTACCATTCTGTGTTATAAATGGTACCCATGGCAGGGTGCCCAAGAGCTCCTGAGGGTTCTGCCCAGTCTTGTGAGACCTGGGTGGATGGGCACAGGTGGTTGTGGTCTGGTGCCGCCCAGTGGACAGCTTCAGTACTGCAGTCATCAAGGGTTCTGCCTCCTGGGTCCTGGATAAATAAACACTTTCCTGGTTGGGAGAGTCCAGGGGTCAAAGGCGAATAACCTTGCCAACCTCGGCAGAAGGAAATTCTAGCTTGTGCGTTCTTTTCCTGCATACTTTTACCTGGGCCTATTTGTAATGCATCTTTCCACTATTCTGGCTTCATGACTACCCCAGAAGACAAAAAGAGAAAGAGGAGGGACTCAGGACTCAGGGCAGTTTAAGTGGAGAAAGCGCTGAGATTCAGCATCTCTGCAGTCCTTCCCCGGGTCTTTACTCCAATCATACATGCCCCTTGCACACGTAGGCCTTTGCTGGGCTCTGAGGTCCAGAAAGGCTCCACCCTAGCTGTGGGAGGACAATGGGTCAAGAGTTGTATAATCTCATCAGCGGTAAGGGCGGGAGGAAGTGTGCACACTGAGAAGCCGAGCTAGGGATGCTGAAGGCAGCAGTAATGGACTTCTTGAGAAAAAAAATGCCAGACTAAAGAGGGGAAGGCAGCAAAAAAGGGTTACTTGACAAAAAGATGGGGGTAGGGAATATTCCAGACAGAGGGAGACAACGTGTAGATGCCTACAGGCAGGAAGGAGGGTGCAGCTTTCAAAGAACCCATAGAGGCCACGTATGGGTCATGGTATGACTTATTAAGTTAGTGGGCATAGGAGGGCAGAAGATGGGGCTGGAAGGCTCTGCATGGCCCATCCCAGGGAGCCCAGGTTTATGCCAACAGTGTTGGGAACTGAAGAGGGTTTTCCTATAGGATATCCCTGCCAGAGGCACAGGATCCAGGAGATCCTTGGGGAGGGGATGGTACAAGACACTTGGAAGACGGGCTGTTGGCCCCTCATGACGTCACTCGCAGCTCAGCAAGCAGTGTGTGTTCTTGGTGACAATAGAGTTGCTCGGGGACAGTCAGGATACCAGCATGTGGAAGTAGCAGTTCACTGAAGTGGAGGAGAATCAGGCAAGCAATGCACAAATCAGGAGGATCCCCAAGTCTCTAGTTCAAAAACAAAATCTCACAAAAAGGAGAATTCTTTGGACTCATAGGCAGAGGGCGAAATGTGAAAGTATGTACTGTAGGGATCTGTAAATTTATGAAAGCTGAGGGCCCTCCATAGCAAAGTCCCGTGGACCTACCATGTCACTGGCATTAGGCCAGTGTCGGTTCATGAATGGTCTCACCCTACCTCGACACCCCATGTTTTACTTAAAGCAAAATTCCTGGCTGATTGTTCCAAATCAATGGTTCTCAACCTATGGGGTCACGACCATCAAAAAAAAATGCACATTTCCCATGGTGTTAGGAAACCCCAGCCATAAGTTTCTTTTTGTTGCTACTTCCTAACTGTAACTTGGCTACTGAGTGGTGTCTCAGTTCCTAAGACCATGGGAAAGATGTGTTCTCTGACGGCCACGACCCACAGTTTGAGAACCACTACTCTAAATGCAAGTATTTCTAATTGTAACTCAAGGGGGGAAGATATCAAAGTACCATTACCACGCCAAGAGAACACCAGTCTGATAACATCACCATAGAGACTCCACAGTCGAATTTTCCAGTAATCCCTAAAACGCCATTTACACCTGCTTTTCTCCCCAGTCCACGATCCAAGTAAGTGTTTGACATGGAAATGTTGGTTACTTTGTCTCTTTAGCCTCTGTCTTTCTATCTTTGTTTGTCTGTCTGTCCATCTACCTCTCTCTCAAACACAGCTTTGTTGAGACACAACTAATTATTATTATTATGTAGTTCCATCGTTTAAAATACAACCTGGGGCTACAGCTCAGTAGGTTTACAAAGGAGAGATCAATTCCTGGTCCTGGGAAAGAAAAAAAAAGGGAGAGGGGAGGGAGGGACCAAGGGAGTGTGCCAGCCAGGCAATTCATTGTTTTTAACAGACGCATCATCTCACATCCCTTATCGCAATAAGTTGTAGAGAATTAACATTACTCCCAAGCCTCCCCCAAGAACGGGCTGTTACTAGCCTACTTTCTGACTCCAGGCTGTCTTTTTCTGGCGTTTTATCTTCAGGAAGGTCAGCTGTATGTGGTCCTCAGAGGCTGATTGCTTTTACCCAGAACGTGTTTGATGTCCTGTGTCGAGTGTGCTCAACTTTTATTCCTACGGCTGAATAGTCTGCCATGATACAGCCGGTTTTGTCTTCTCGCTTGCTTCAATCTCTTTGTCTAGGCTGATATCCCGGGCTTTTTCTTTCGCCTGCCCTCATACTGACTTCACGTCTATGTTGCAAAAGAGACTCCAAGTCATTGTCTTGTAGGCCGACCTACATTCTTAATCGGTTGGCTTTCTCCTCCTTAGACCCCAGCTTGGGGTGTGACAGGAGCTCTGTTTGGGGTGAGCTGACTGCTGCCTGTGGTATCTCTGGGGACACACTCCCAGGTCTGTGCCCTGCTGGGGACGCTCCAGGCCACTGAAATAACTTCTGGATTTATTTCATTCATTTCCCTTTCTGATTGGCCAGTAGCCCGCGGGGCACTAATATGACACCATGATTGTCCTGCTGCCCGACAGTCTTCTCTGATTTTAGTGTCTGTGACAATCACAGTCTCAACCCCTTTGACTCTAGGATTTCTGAGCAATGAACTCTACATACGTTTTTGTGGGTGTTCTGGAATGGCATGTTCCCTCTACCCACTGTGGAGTGAACCCACTGTGGTCATTATTCCTACTGAGCTCAGGTGGTCTCCCCACTGTGGCCTTTGGGGGTCATCTTTAGACCGGCTCTTTTGTCCTTTCCTTATCTCCTCATCATTATTTGAATTCTCTTGTATTTATTGTTCCTGTGTTTCTAGGAACCTGCATTCCCCTCAGTGGGGAATAACAAAAGCCACCAGTAGAGGGTGACTCTTGTAGGCTTTCTCGCCTCTTAGTCCCTCACACCTCCAGTAACAACAGCAGCCATATTCTGACTATGGCCAAGGCCACTGACCCCTGGTTGCCCATGACCAATCCTGGACTGCAGTAGGCACCCCCCAAGGATGGTGGCAGGGTCATGTTGGTCCCTGACAGGGAGACTTGCTAAGAAGAGAATCTAGCCCTGAGGCGGGACTGCTCCTTTTTTAGCAGGTATGGGCTTTACCAGTGTAGCTGTGCAGAAGACCCATGGAGAGATCTTGTCCCTGCCTTTTCTTAATGACTGGTACCCAGGGCTCCTATTGGGCATCCTCTGCTTGTCTTCTGCTAGGGGCACTTTTTGTGAATGTCCCAGAGGAGAAATAGTAGCTTGGAAGGATACAGGCCAGACCAGGTCGATATGACGATGCTTTAAAAAATAGATACAGAAGCTGTAGTTGGCCACAAACTTGACACCACCATAGCCTGTCAGGGTGGCAGAGGAGCTGCCGTAAGCACAAGTGCCTGGATAAAGAAATTAAAGTTGGTCAGATCAGTGTGCCTCCGGTGAGGGCTCCAGCTGCGCGGGGTGGAAGCTGACTAGAGCTGTGTGAGACCTGGTGGTGATGGCCCATTTTACAGATGGAAACCCCAAGGCTCTAGGAAGCCAGTTCCATGGCCTTCATCTGAAAGTCAGTCATCCACAAATAGATGCTCCTTAAGGTTGCTTTCCATCAAGACCTCTGAGGATGTGAGTTTTCTCCAAACAGGCTCTTTCCCAGCCCAGACAAGGCAGTCAGGCTGTCCATAGGAAGGGTCTGTGGTGAGCTCCAGTTGGCCTGGCTTGCTGATGGCTTCCTGAGGCAGAAGCAGCCCCACCCCCCCACCCCACAGATGTTCACCTAGACAGGGTCCAGGGCTGTATGGCTTGAGTATGGCTAGAATCATCAGGTTTCCCTGAGATGCACTGGTAAAGCCCTTCATACTTATGGACCCATGCCAGCCCCAGAACATACACAGAGTGGTCACCCAAGGTGCCTCGAGGGAGCTGTTTTCAAGGGTATTGTGGAACCCAAGACAAGTGGCATCTCAGGATTCTGTCTGGGGAAGCCGTGGAGTTGAATCCTGAGCGTAACTGCTAAAGTCTCAGGACTGAGCGTTGTCCTGTATTAAATGTGGCTTTTTTTAGCTGGCCATTCTTGGCTTCTCCACCAACATAATAATGGGACTCTGGGCATCACCTGTGGGTGCAGAGGCAACCAAGACTCTAGCTTTCTTTCTGACATGGGGACAGTATAAAAAGTCACTCCAGAACGGTACTCTGCTTGTGAGAAACCGCCGTGACTCCCAGGCGCTGGCGCAGTGGCACGTTGCCAAAGTGACTGAGCAGCGCCCTGTGCTCATTCCACGCGCATTCACCATTTGCTATTACGGACTCGGGAGGGTTCAGAATGAGATGTCATGTGCTGAGTCTCCTGTGTCCCGGTGGGGTGGGTGGTGGAGTGGCCTACAATCTGCCTTAACTCTCTGTTCCCCTGCCATTCCACTCCTCTGCTTTGGCAACGTGGTCTGGTTACCAGCAGAGGGCAGCGGAGGGGTTAACTCCCCCAAATCCCAGTTGGAAAGGAGAGGAGGGGAGACCTGGTTTGCTGAGGTTCCCTGGGAGCCTGAACTCAGCCTTCCTCCTACTTTGCCTGGAGCCTGAGCACACTCTGGAGCAGCTTGGACTCTGAGATGCACTTGCCTGCCCTGGCCCAGAATATGGTGACTCAGGAGTTAACCGCAGGCTGACACCCCTGAACTTCCCCAGCTCAGGGTTCTTAACCAATCCCTCCACCCACCTGGGGAACGAACGGGAATGGGGAAAAAAATGTCCAACATGGAGAACAGCTTTGATGATGTGTCTCACCTCTCTCACCAGAACCTGGGATCCTCGTCGCCAAGCAAAAAACAGAGCAAGGAAAACACCATCACAGTAAGTGGCTTGACTGTTGGTGGGGGGAGAGCTCCAGGGCTGGGACTTTGGGCCACGACTGGGCTGTTGCCGTGGCAACGTGGACCGCCAAACCCAGAATCGATGCTCACTAGGAAATAGAGAAGTTGCAGCCAAAGCTTGGGTTTAGCTGAAGTTACCCCCATCCCCTCCCTCTGTCAATTTCTCCTTTTGCTTGCTCTCCCCCGGTGAAGGGGTGGAGGGCAGGAGGCTGTAAGGAGACAGAAGCTGTTTCTGTGTGGTGGGCAGGAGAAGGTGCTTGTGGGGGAGCGAGTTGAAGGGGGTGGAGTGTGCTGTGTGCAGAAATGTGACATGGAAATTACAGCCACCGCAGGGCTGCTTTTGTATAGGGAAACTTCTGGAAGATGTCAAAGTTAAAAGCAAGAAAAAGCTCCCTTACAAATAGCATTTCTGGGAGTCCCTAGTGAGAAGCTCCTGCCCAAACTCTCGGGGATCCTCCCCAGTGCTAGCCAGATACCTCTGTGGGGATGGAGCATGGGCCCAACTCCTCCCACACAACCCCATGATGCACTGGGGTCAGGACATCTCTAGCCTAGCCTCTAAGGAGGGAGCTGCCTAGATTCTTAGCCAACAACCCAGAGAGTTGAGAAGTGAGGTCTGTGCAGATTTGCTACCCTGGCATGAGTTCCTGGCATGAATATGGGGGACTTATGACCTTGGGCTCCTTGTCACCCTGTTCTGAACTGCCCTGACTACCTCTGCAAAGATAAAGACCTGAGTGGGTGCGTTGGACCATTCTGCTTTGCAGGGAAGAGAGAGTCAAACAAACAGTATTAGCAAGCAATCGTAATAACCTGCCGTCAACTTGGTGCCCGCTTGGTACCCCAGGACTGCTCCTAGGGTCTCCGTTTGCTGCCTGCTGTCTTAGCTGTGGTTAACAGAATCGACTCTGGGGTGATTAGACACCTGGACCATGAAGCCAAAGTGTCACTTACCTCACTCACAAAGCTGTGCCAAAGTTTGAGCAATTTCCCGAGCCTCTGCTGGTGCCTGTTTCTACAAAGCAGGGAAGTGAGGGCTTCGGCAGTGGGGGAGTGGGGTGACTTCGTCCATCATCATAAGCACCTAGAACAGAGTCAGGCATGTACCTCGTACCTGATATGCATTAGCGTGGTCATCACACTGTACACAGATGAGGAAACTGGGGCTCGTGTGGCACCATGCCCAAGTTACCTAGCTAGGAAACTTCAAGATTCAAAAACTCAGCTTGTGCCCACTGGCAGTGCCCCTCCTGAGCTGGCGTAGGTCCCTCAGGCCATCACCCTGCCTTGACCCTCCTGAGTCTCCTGGAAACTGGGCAGGGCGGCTGAGCTTGCTGCAACCCTGTAGCAGCCACAGCTTCTCTTTCTAGAGAATCTAGAGGAACCTGGCAGGGCATAGGCCAACCTAGGTTCAGACTTTGGAGGGCATGGTCCCTATCTTCACATTGCTACTAAGTGCTCCAAAATGCTGAAGCAAGAGGAGAACTCCTCAGCGCCAATAGAAACGGGGAGAAAGGAAGAAGAGAAAATAAGAGGGAGACACATTTTCACATCCTAGGAATAAACACTGAAGTGAAGAGAGAAGGGCCGTGTTGCACTGGCTCTTATCCTAAAGGCACATGGTGATGGAGCCCAGCCAGAGTCAGGCCCCTGCTGGGTCCTTGCAGTCAGAGCTTCTGAACATGGTCCAAGCTTGCCGCTTGTCACTCCTACCTGCTCCTTCCCTCTGGCCGAGATGGTCTGCAGCATGCAACTGGTACCACGGTCCTGAGACACTGTTTAAGGTGTGGATTCCTGAAAAACATCTGTAGATGGTCTCTCTGGTGGTGAGGACCAAAAACTACATTTCTGTCAACACTGGAGAGGGTTGATGTGAATGCTTACACCCTGGAGAACTGTTGCTGGGAAAATTGAGCCAAAGAGGGAGTGACCACAGGTCACACAGCAAGGGAGAAAGAAACCCAGGACTCAATCACATCCAGGTCTACCTACTGCCAACCTGGCTGCTTGCCCATGTACCCCTTGGGTACCCCAACCTTTTATCACTTCAGACTGAAGATCTGCGTCATTATTTCCCTCATGTGGTACCCTGTCTCCACACCCAGTCCCCTAGCTCCATGTTCAAGCTTCTTAGAGCTCAACACTTCTTCATGGGATGGGACGGCCCTGTCCCTAGAAGGCTAAGACACCAGCTTCCTGTTCTGGGGGAATACGGGAATGTGGTGAGAAGTTTCCTTGCTGTCTGACCTGGGAGGCAGCCACTGACAGGCCTTGCCAGGGCAGGATGCATGTCCTCAGTCAAGGAGCAAGGACCGAGCTGGATTTGAAGTTCAGTGGCCCGGAGCTAGTTTAGAAGAGCAGACACATGGGCCCCCTGGCAGCAGATACAGGGCTGGCAGCCATGCCTGGGTCTCGTTCCTACTGTCAGTAGTGCTAGGTTGGCAGGTGGGGGCGGGGCAGTGTTTGATTGGGAGTGACAGGCATTAATGGCCGCTCACTGCCCTCAGCATAAACTTGACACATCAAGATATAGAGGGTTTGAACAATGATGGCAGGGAAGGCCCCAGGCACAGTCTCCTGGAATGAGGAATTAGAGGGCCTTGTGGTCCTCCACTTGGATGCCCAGCGTAATGAAGCGTGGCATCTTGGGAGGGAGCTAGTGGCTGAAGGGAAGCCCATGGGGTTCTTTCCAGTCTTCTCATTTTCCTGGGTCAGGGTCACACAGCGTCCTTAGCTGCAGCCTGGGTTACCAAACTCTGTAACCTTAGCCCTGAAGGCTGGAAGGAGACTATCACCCCGCCTTGGACACAGACTGTGCTGCCCTACAATGAGAGCAGGTACCCCGGTCTCCCGTGTCAGCCCCTCAGATGGGTCACACATGCGTTCTGCATCCCTGGTGGCCCAGTCAGATGCCTGACCAACTGCTGCCGCCTCCTTGGTGCCTTCAGTGAATGTCTGGGAGCGATTCTCTTGATCTGCAGAGTGCCTCAGTCAAGCAGCCCCTGCAATAGGAAGTGTTCCATCCATGGCTGTGGCAAAGACTGGGGATCCCCAGAGGAGAAGGTAGAAATGGCCATACCACATACACACACACTGACAGGCACACCCCTCCTCTGTTTCGTGCTCAACAACCGTCTTTGGCATGAGCAGGGCCTAGCTACACTTCGCCCCAGTGAGCTGGACAAGTCATGTGTTGACGGGATTCAGATGCTAGTCTGGATTCAGGCCATGACTCTACTACCACATACAAGCTCTGGGATCTGGCTTAAGTGACTTAACCTCTCTGTGCTTCGGTGGGTGCCTTGCATGGCTGTTATGAGGACTGAATGAGTCCACACATGGCGAGACTCAGAACATGATTAGCACTCGCTGAGCATAAAGCTGGGCTGTCTGCTGTGGAGCAACAAGAGGAACCAAGGCTCTCAGTGCTCCCAGCAGGCTGTTGGAGGAGGCGTGCCTTTCCTAAGGGTGCAGCTGCAATTTCTAGCTCCTGCCTGGCGATCTCCAGGAGGGGAAAGGAAATTGCCTGCAAAGATGTTCATGGGGAAAGACATGTCTGGCTTTCTCTTCCTTCCTGGCCCTGCTAATGGAGCCTTGTGGTTCAGGGACACAAGAACTCATCTGTGAGGCCTGAATGTCACATAGGGGCAGGGGCAGCAAGAGAATGATGGACCGGTACTTGAGAGGGTACTTGAGTGACACCCTCCTGTGCCCCTCTACCTGCAAGACAGTGACCTGTCAGCCTCTGTGCCTCGGTCTCCTCCCCTATGCATGTTTGCACCACTGTTGCAGGTGGACATTTTTGCTCTGGTTGCTTCATTGCGCTGCACTTACAACACCCTCTTCTGCTGAAGCCTCCTGCTCTCCGGAATCCTCTCATCTCCCTCCTTATAACCCAATGTGCAGGGACACACCGTCAGCCAGGCCAGGCTCCTCACATTCTCACCTGGGCACTGTTGGTATCTGGGGTAAAGGGCAGTCCTGAGCCTTTCCTGCCCTGGGGTCATAGTCATACCCTTTCACCTCTTCAAGCTGCAGCCTCCTCCACTCAGAGAGCACTGTCCAGCCCATGCCCACGTCACGCTCACACTAGACCCTTGGTGGCTAACTGCCTTCAGCACAGACATCTGGACACATCTGCCGGAGTCCCTCTTGCTTCTGAGCCAAGCACAGCATGCATGTGTGTGAACACACACACGCACACACACACACTCAAGCACTCATACACACACATGTGCACAAATACACACACAGAGATACACACACTCAAGCACTCATACACTCATACACACATGTGTGCACAAATACACACACACACACACACACACACACACACACACACACACAGGCTCCAGCCTCCTTCCTACCTGAAATACCCTTTCCACTACCAGCCTACTTGCCTAGATCCTCCTCAAGTACCACTTCATCTGAGAATCATCCCAGTAGCCCCAGCCCTTCTTGTGGCCTCAGCATCCCATGCCTGCCCTAAGGAGAGGCTTATCCCAAGAATAATCATCCCTTAACTATCAGGCTCTTGAGAACATACGCTGTCCCTCTGACCTGGTTCCTAGTCATTGCAATAATGATGCTTTGTGGAATACCCACTGTTGGCCTGATGTGCAGGACCTAGGAAAGCCTTAGGATAAAATGGTCTCCATCCCACTACCTGCCCTCATGGGCACGCTGTCAGCAAGGAAAGGAAGAAGTAAAAACCCTTCAGAAGTACAACAAAGACGTATGTGTGCAGGGTGCCGGGGAGACCTGGCATAGCAGGTAAACCCAACGTGGCACATGCCATGAAGGAGCTATCCGGTATTCAGCTCCGCTGCCAGCCTGACCTGGATTTGAACACTTCTGTGATCTGATTTCCTCAGTGTTGTGCACTTCTCTACCTGACCACCAGGGGGAGAAGAACTCTGAGGATTCCAGGAAGTCCCAGTGGACTAAAGGGAACCAGAAGTGACAGAGGCTGTGACAGGCACCCCAGGGCTCCTGACCAGAGCATCCAAGAACTAATAACCTCAGAGCGGCAGAAATATCATCCAGCTTCTCCTACCTTCACTCCCGCCCAACCCCCATCCTTCCTTGGCTGGTCCAGGGCAATTTGAATGGCCCTTGCCTCCTAGACCCCAAACCTTCTAGCCCCTGCTATAGGCATCACTCTGGAAGGTTCTATCAGGTGGGCAAGAGCAGGACCCTGGGGCTGTTCATTATTCTATCTTCCATAGGTAAGTGCAGGCCTTCCTTGGGAGATGTGCCATCCCTGCAGCCTGGCTGCTTCTCACCTATCATCCGCATCACCTGAGACCCAGAGCCTCTGACCATACACTCATGCTAGGCCCATCGATCCATCTTAGCAACACCGCCCAGGTGACTCTGAGACATATTACACCATGACTCCAGGACAACAGAGGGGTTGAAGAGAACATAATTAAATCCTAGCTTTCCTATAGACCTTCTGTGGTCCGCCTTAGAGCCAGCTGAGGCTTGTCATTGAAGGGGATTTCTGTTACTCTCCCCACTTTGGACTAACAGAGTCTGTCTTCTCTTCATGGACATCCTGGGGTAGATAGTGTCATCCTTTTTCTGAATGTGGGTCCTCTCAGGGAGGATGGTAGTCATGGCTAAACAACACCCATTTTCTGTTTGCCCTGACCCACCATTGGCCAAGTCACTTCTGATAAATTTCTTCCTTTGTGGCCAAGCCCAAGACAAGTTTGGATGAAGACTGATGAAGAGGGTCGGGGTAGATCATGAGGTTCCTTAGAAATCAGTACTGCCTACTTTGAGTACCGCGGCCCCTAGCTGCATGTCCCCATCTGTGAATTCAGCCAGCTGAGGATCCCCTATCCACAGGTTAAAAACCTTTATCCTTGATATTACTCCCATTCAATACAGTAGAACAACTATTCAGCTCAAATTATTAAGTATTATAAGACTCTGAAATGCAGGGGGTCTGTGTTTGTTATATGCAAATACTGTGCCATTTTACATAAGGGAGCTTGGCATCTATAAATTTCGCCATCCATGTGAGGCCTGAAACTGGTGCCCACCCCTCCGCCCCCAGATACTGAGGGGTAATTGTGCCTTAAATCTGTGGGTTCTGTGATTATTTATTTATCTGCGTGGATGTGTTTGTGTGTGCATGGTTGTATGTGCACACTCATGTGTACATGCTCACATGCATGTGGAGACCAGAGGTAAGTGTGTCTTTCTCTGTCTTCACTCTCTGCCTAAATTTCCTTAAGCTAGTCTCTCGCTAAACCTGGAGCCAGTCTGGCAGCCAGCAAGTTCCCAACAATTCTCCTGTCTCTGAGCCTCATGTGGCTAGGCCTGGTTTTGCACCGGAGTTCCAGGAATTTGAACACAGATCCTCATGCATACAATGCAAGCGCTCCTACCCACTGCCTCCCCAGCTCTGGTTCTGTGATTCTTAGCTCCTGCTTACTTTACTGTTAGAAATCTCGTATCATTAAATTACATTTAAGCTTTCACGAAGCAAAATAAAGGTGACTGTCATCACCAATATGGCTTAACCTCCATACCCTGTTTTCATGCTGGCCCCAAGCCACACCTGCTCAGTGGGAGGCTGTCAAGGCCCCTAAAGAAGACTCAGATCAGGACACCTCACAGCGGGGAGGGACTTCAGCCTAGATCAAGAACTTGGAGAGTCCCTTTCCTGAGGCTGGGCATGAGATGGTGCCTGCTCTACCCCCGTCCTCCACCCCTGCCATCCAGCCCCTAACAACAGCTGCAGGTCAGAACTTCTTTACATTGAACCGACTGGGGAATTCAGTGCTGTTGAACTCCAAGGCACTGTGACATTCCTGGCCCCCTTTCTACCATGTCATCATGCTTCTTCCCAAAGGAGCCCCTGTCTTATCTCGCCAATGTCAATGTCCTGGAACAGGTCTTTTCCTTCTGCATAGCACTTCCGGGTCTCCTCACCCAGGCCTGTGAGGGCAGCTGCTGCTCCTGGCAGCTGGCAGGCTGGCAGGCTGGCAGGGCAATGCACCGGCTACCACAGGCTCTCGCGCCCTGAAGTCAGAGGCCCCAGGGTCTGATTCAGCTGACATGGGAGTTTGCTGGTTGGACATGGCATTTGTTTTTGTTTTTAATTTTAAACTCAATCAATGGCCATCACTGAAAGTTTGAGACAATTGACATGCGAACCTCGAGCTCCCGCCAACCTGGAATCAGCTCGTAGTCTGGTGGCATGGAGCAGAAATCTGAATCTGCCCGTGAGATATGTGTCTACAACCTGTAGCCCCTGCCCAAGGCACAGGCTGTTTCCCTCCTGTTCTGGTTGTGGAGTCTGTCACAGGGGTACCTGGCTGTCTGCATGACCCTCCTCAGTCAGAGGTTGAAGACAATCTGCGACCCCCTGTGGGTTCCTGGTTGGCTCATCCTTCCAGCACCAGAACTCCCCACTTTGACAGATGACTGGTCTATGAGGAGAGGTTTAAGGAAGATGCCTTGGTGTGAGGCTGGGAATTGCAACCGCATCAGAAAAGCAGCAAAGCCACTCCCACAAAGGGGGGCAAGCCACTCCAACAAAGTGGGGGCAAGTCACTCCCACAAAGGGGGACAAGCCCCTCCCACAAAATGGGACAAGCCA